AATGAATAGTATTAGTGTAACATTTAACTTTTTAGTCTCGCCTTTAATTACGATTATATGTTCTGGTATTTAAAAATCATTGTAATCATAATTGACCAGACCTTGTATATGAGATATTTTTGCCATCAAATGACAATATTTCAAGCGTTACCAACAAAGCATTCACGTATATTTTGATTTTGTAAAATTTAATTTCTAAAATGAAGCTTTTTTGTTATTACCGTTAATATGTGCATAAGAAAATCTTATAATAAGAGGCAACATGTTCATTGAATTCAGAAAGAATTAAGTTGAAAAAACATTGACAAAACACTTATGTTCTGCGCTATTGCCTTATAAAATAGTTTGCTCATATATGGGAATTTGTCTAAAATATTTTATTAATTGTAATAATTATTATTCGGGGTTACTTCAATTTAAATTTACTCTACATCTCATTATAACCACCCAGTTCAATCCAATCTACCTAGTACTGAAAGTTATTTCGACATGGTAAAAGTACGCTACATCCTCACGTGTGCCCAAGGACCAAAGACTAGAAATAAATTTTGAAGATGGACGAAGAGCATCGATGATACAGACTGGTATTTTGAAATTACTATTGATTACATCAATTATATTGACAGAAACTATATTTTCTGGAAAATCATTAATTCTTGAATAAGGACTAGAACTTTTTTTAAGGATTTGCTGATATTCTCAAAAACCGAATTTATATTAATACAATATGCATAGTCGATTGCAAAGGCAAAACACAAGTATAAGTTATCGTCACCCCAACTAGGAATAAGGTGTAAAAGAGGCCTAATATTACGAGACATTCACATCTTCTCTCTGAACTAGGGGAACTTGTTGCAGTTTGGCAAAGTGCTACAGCCCCACTGAGGATTTCTAAGGGAAGTTACTAATCAGATATGATCTCAAACAAAATGGTGTTACCAGAACTATTCAAGAAGTACTTATCTTCTCTAAAACATACTATCTATAAATAAAACTTTTCTCTATAATTTTATTTGCAAACCAATTTTACTTGATGGCAATATTGATGTTTATTAGCTTTGATATGGAATCCTTTATTATTTAAAATTTTGAAAATAATTAATAAAGTTATAGCTAGATCCTCTGTCTTGTTTTAAACAGCTATTGAGTAAAAGCTGCTGGTAACTTCAGAAACCTAACCAATACCAATATAATTATAAATATTTATTGCATTTTACATAGCTATATGCTTAAATTATTGGTATTTGTTTTCAGATTAACTGTGATAAATATTGAATTAACTATGACTCACACTTTCTAATATCTGAAGTTGCAAATATTTAACTAATAGTGCAAATTATAGCATTTAAAATATTTTATTGAAAACCATTAAACGAACCTTGGCCGCCTCCGACTCCAGACTGAGTAGTAAAGTAACACCAACGCTTAATGTAAATAGGAAGATATAGAAGACTCGAAAACAGAGGTAGGCAAGAACTAAGGCTTTTTGGGATGCTGACAACTGAAGGAGGTGCTGTTGTGTCGTGCCCGGTTGAATTATATTCCTAGGCCTCATTGGCTGATAGTAACTTTGTTGCTCATTCATATGATCTGCACCTCTCACATTGTTGTATGCAGTCCGGGTAGACAAATAGATACCATTTTCACTTACTAGAGCAGTAGCTGGGGGGCCATTTTTTCCTATAATGGATGAGGATGTCCGACATGAGCGTATTAATGCATAGGCTGTGAGGAGCAGCAGGTAGAAGACACCTGTTACTAGGGCGACAAGCAAAAAGGACAGATGCATCTGTAGATTTCGCTCCTCTGGCGGCAACATTTCACTTAGTTTGGGCTCTTTTGCACCGGTTAAAGCTGGTGCGACAGCTGCAGCTGCTCCAGCTAAAGTGGCGACTCTTTGTGAGTTATGAATGCTTATTTGACCGGATTCAATCCCAAACATTCGGGGAGTGGGTTCAGATATTCGGCGTGTTGACGCTTTTCGAGTTAAAAGGTATTCCGAATTGGTCTCCAAATGGTTTGCGTAGTAAAATTGATCATCGTTGTGATGCTGATGGGGGCTGTTTAACTCAGCAACATCATCTACCCTATTTTCTTTATTCGTCCTATTCAAGATGGCCTCCAAAGCCGTGTTATCTATTAGAGTTACAGCCTCCTTGTATTCGGTTGTTACGATTTGTTGATAAGTGGTCTGGCAATCGGAGAGTCTCACCTCCAGGATACCCTCAGTTTGACCTTTCTTAGCAGCGTAGACGAGTAACACTTTGAGTGAGAAATGAATGACTGGTTCTCGTGGCACGCCATTATGCAGCTTTTTTTGCTGGTGACCTTTGGAAAGCAAAACGATATCCTGATTCACCACAAGTGCATCAAAATTGTGATGATACTCAGATAGAGTCTTTGGGGATAGCAGAGCAGAAGAGTGGAATGAGGTCAAATCTTTCACCTTAAGATGTAGGAAAGCAGGCGTTTTAGTAATCCAGCCTAAACAATTGAGGAATCAGGAGAGAAGCAAATAATTCCAATATAATCAACATAATTTAGATCAGATAATATAAGCAATGCTTTCACATTAGGACTAAGCGAACTCACTAGTTGCTGGTTAAAGCATTGTGTAGACAATCCATCAAATGACACGTGATAAAAACCTGGCTAACAACGAGCCAATCACCGTCAGTCTAGCCTGGCTAGCAGAATTTTAATTGGCTAACAACACACTGTTGAGCCCATGCATTTAACTCCATATTGCTTACTAACGCATTTTCTATAGGGCGGCAAAAGGCTTCGCAAATGTAGGGGATGCTATAGGTTGCAGCCACTAGAACCTACCGGGACAATTCTCAGGCAGACTAGAGTAAAAAAATTAGTTTCTCAATAATTTAATAAAATACACCTAATCACCTCAGCATGGTATATCGTTTTTCTGCAAGAAGCCTCCAAATTCTAGTAATGAGTAAAAAATCGAAAATATATAATATTTGTGAAGTTTTAGTTTTTTTTCAGAATCAGAATTCTGCCTAATAATTCGGTATAATGCTAAAAATCCAGTAAAGTGATAAGATTACTTAACAAATTTATTGTAAAATTTCAGGTTGATAAATTGCAGCAATTCGTTTCTTTGAGTCTTGGAGTTCATGTGCTATTATAATGAAGCTATAGTTGCTCAAAAGGCAACTTAGGTTGCCGCAATATTGCAACCTTCATTACTAAGGTCGCAGATAATTAAATAAGTTAACATTCCAACTACTACTGTGATATTCGTTATAATGCATTTGCAGCTATCTCCCAACACATATTTTGCACAAATGGCTCTCATTTCTACTGCTTCTTCTATCAGACTGTGAACCCTTGTAGAGCTCAAATGCCGGCTGTCCGACTGTAAAAATATTTAAACTAAAAGCCTTTGTGATTGAAACATACTTCAAGGGTGATGAGTAACTTGCGTCAACCTCCTTACAGACCAAGTTTCTCACTGAGATTGTTATAATCGGAAATTCATAACAGGGCAAAGCTATTAGTAATCATACGTATGCTGCCACATTCGCATCTTAAAATAATTAGGAAAACATATTTAGGCAACACCTATCTAGTGGTTCATACGATAAATAATAAATGCAAAATCATGAATATAAATTCTGCAGATCGTGAATAAGTAAGCTGGCAAGCTATAAATAGCATAACAGCAGAACAACATTACAATCATATAGTTTTTTCATAATTACATCTTCTTAAGGTTCTTTCGTAGAACTATACCTTAAGGAACTTTAGCTTTACATCACAAAGCAAACTAAATCACAACTGTATAATCTCAGCATGCTAATGAATATGCCACAATGCTACGAGTGCCCTTGGAGCAAAAAGCTGAAGTGTGGTAAAATTCAACTACAAGTCATTCATTACCTTAAAATAACACAGATCTTATATCTTATCACCCTATGATGCTTAAGGTGATTTAAATAATAGACGTTTTTACAAAATAATATAAGTAGGCCTCGTAATACCATTGAATTTCGACTAGAATTTGCTTCCAGAAGGCTCTATCAGCCATCATGGACCATACTTTTGATCCAGTCTAGGTGACAAAAACATCCCAAAAGGAATAGTTTTGTATCGTGAGCATCGTAAATCTATTACCATTTCTTAACTCATCCACATATGTCAGTGAAGCACAGGTCGGATATGACATTCAAGGCAAGCTAAGCCTCCTTTAAATGACATTTTTGATAAAACTGTCTATGAATGTATCATGTATTTGCCATTGCGATTAATGATGTTGCGTATTTTTTGAAGTGATTGTGCATTGAACATAACAATGTTGCATAATCATGGGTAAGAACAGCAGATAACTTTAATATAAATACAATTTGAGTTTATATTTTCTGACTGAGACTAAGTAATACTCATAAATAGAATCATAAAGACTTGATTATTTGCTTTATTTGCTATATAATACATTTTCTCATAGTTTATAAACTAGCTGTGATTTTTTTATATATTCATATCCATAATGAATTTTAGGAACAACTTCTATTATAAAAATTTTGAATATGTCAAAAACGTAGCAGTTTTATCTGTAAATTATTTACTAAATAAAATAGTTTGGAAATTTATTTTAAAGGGGATATTAATTTTATTATAGCCTTTTATCCTTCAAAGTGCATTTAGCTAGGTTCATAGAAATTAGAAACACTGCAGTATAATTGAATTTAAAATAGAAGTTTATTTGTTGAAAGTTGTTCCAATAATCCAAACTTTTCTGAGGGAATGAAAGATAAACAAGCAGCAACCACAAATAAATGATTTCCAGATTAACCTAAAAAGAGCCGCTCGTAGATGACGAATATCGGACAATTTAGAAATTCCGATGGTCTCGAACTGAATCTTAATAAATATTGACAATAAGAGAAAGATGTAGTGGTCTCGATTTTGGTCTCAGTTTCATTTGGACGTATAGAAGAGATCTGATCTCGCTTTTGGCAAATTGATCGCGTAATCAGGAAGACATAATTGGACTCATCTTGCCTGAAGTCGTTTGCTGTAGTAGATTTAATACTTCCCAGCTTTGCTACATTCGCATTCATTTCGCCAGCATCGTAATCGTCATTTTCCGTAAGTCTTGCCAGACTCACTGAAAAGGTAGAATTCCTCAAAGTGATAAGTGAAGTGAATGACTTGACTAAATTTATGCTCATTGGTCATGCTTTCTGTCCTGCCACATCTACCTACTCCATAAGCTTTTATCTCATTCCTACTTTATTACAATTTCTGACTTTTCTGTATTCGACTCCTCTAGAAGTGTGCTCTTTTTGGTGAATTAGTGTGGTGTATTCACACCTGCTGTTCAAATTGCCACCCTTTCCTCTCGAGTTGCTATTGAAAGAACCAAATTCACAACGGAAGTGGAGGATGAGGAGTGGATGTTAAAGTCACTTGCTTCAATGGGAAGTTTAAGAAATTCTCTTTAGAATGAAGTCGTATGCAGGAATAATACTCAATTTTCATTGTCATCACAAATACAGTTTAAAGATAGGAATAATGAGTAGCATTATCATCAGAAGTCTACGATTAACGGAAGCGGAGTTCTGGGATGAGAATTTGACGAATGCACGCAGATATTCCTTTGCAACGGATATCAGAGAGAATTAATAAGAAGAAACATAAGATCCGTGACAATTCGATGGCCGGATGGGGATTATGAAAGTAAAGTAGGAATAAAAAAGATAAAAAAATGTATATGCCTAACTTTCTGAAAACTAGCTCAACAATTACGAGGAATATTAATAAAATATACTATTGAGGTGATCGAGAAGGAAAGATCACACTCTTCACAAGTTTGTCCCCGCAGCAGGAGATAGAGACAAAAGGTTTTGCACTAAAGTTTAATGAAGAGCATGAGCGTCTAGGACCAGAAATCTATTGGTGAGACATGGATAAAAAGCAGCAAGAAACATCAACGGATCTGCACGAGAATGGATAGTGAAAGCTCCGAAATAGCGGAACGCATTGCACAGACTGGACAAGAGATCAATTGGAAAGCAACTGAAAAAAGTACTTCATATGCTGAAAATACAAGGAAACTGAAGATTAAGGGGGCCATTGTCAGGCTTATAGAAAGAAATTTAATTGACATGCGATTGTAAGAAGGCAGAGTTAACGATAACTTTGCCTAC